GTGTGGCGAGTCCATATAAAATGTATGAAAACTACAAGAAATATGCTGGTGGCGGCTTTTTGTGGTTGTGGTCAATGGCCCGTGTGCCGCGACACTTAGAATTAAGCGTTTTAAAATATGCCCCCGTGTATACCACACATAAGTTGTTTGGGGTATATCTACGCATAAAAACATTAATCTAGAATTAGATCAACGCTTGGAAACAAACAAATGTTATTTAATCGGATGATTCCATTCAAATTGTTATCTTGGTACGCAATCCACGTGCAATGCACGTTAGAATGTCGAGCTACGAGGTACGGCTGCAGGACTTTATAATAAACGAATTGCCAAAAGGTCTGATGGATGTTTAAAGCAAGGGCGGATCCAGGGGGGGGGGGGGGTCATGGGGGTCATGACTCCCCCCTGGGCTGGGTACAGATGGACCAAACCCAGGGGGATTTTATTTAAGTACTTTCAATATTTAATATACCACGACTATATGACCCCCCCCCTGGGCCAAAGCTGGGTATATGACCCCCCCCTGGCGCTAAAGCTGGATCCGCCCTTGGTTTAAAGTAAACGAAATTGAGACCGCCAGTTATATTAGACATTCTGGGTTACCTACAATGCGAAGAGTAGGTAGCATAATGGTCAGTGCATTCGCCCGGATAGCGAAGGGTGCGGGTTCGAGTCCCGTCTGCTGCCTGGTCCGCGTGGAAATTTTACTAGGAATATTTTCGTCAGTTACATGATTAAAAAATTATGGACATATATATATATTTAGAAAAAAATATAAATTAAAATTATAACTATAGCAATTATAGTTATAATTTTAATTTTTTAAGCTTGTAACTGCTTGATGTTGGAATCTAAAGAAAATATAACTAAAAAATTCTTTAGATTTCAACATCATAATTGGTCAGTGCATTCGCCCGGATTGCGAAGGGTGCGGATTCGAGTCCCGTCTGCTGCCTGGTCCGCGTGGAATTTTAACTAGGAATATTTTCGTCAGATACATGATTAAAAAATTATGGACATATATATTTTCTTTTGTGATTGACCAAAAAATTACACAGATAAAGCGCGTCTAACTTTAAGTGTCAACTCTAAGTAAAATTTTTACCAAGACGTGACAACATGAGACTTCTCAAATCAAACCTATATATATATTTCTGTAATGTAAATCATGCCAACTTTTAAACAATAAAAAGGAATAACACATTATGGACTCCGAGAACACTTTATCACTCACTATTAACTTCATCTAAATACAAAGATCTACATTTCACATTCAATAGACATCATTGTATTTATTATACGCATTTCCTGTCTCTCTCCGTGCGCATGGAGGGGAACGAAAAAATAACAATAGACCAGTTTGTATATTGGAGGAGCTCGATGGCGCAAATGGTTAGCGCGTTCGGCGCAACTTTCGCAGTGGTCGGTCATTGGATGGGTGACCAAAAATTTAAGCAGTTGGTCCCGGCTGCATCTGCAGTCGTTAGCACCTACCAATCCGCACTGGGCCCGCGTGGTGGGTCATGGCCCAATCTCCCTATTCCATTCATAAGGAAGGCCTGTGCCCCAACAGTGGGGACATTAATAGGCTGGTGATGTGTGTATATTAAGATATATAAAAGATTTTACAGATATTATTAATTTCGATATCTTGGTAGTATCCATAATCTTAATCTTCGGTCTAGCAGCAAACATACTCTAGCTATTCCCTCTCACCATACTGGTTTTGTTTCCAACTCATTTTCTCTTCAAGTCTGGAACGCACTGCCTCCTCATATTCAAGACGCTCCGAAAAACGTCATCATTTATTAGATTCCTCCTCTGCATCCTCCTGATATGATATAGATTTGTGTGTATATACATATATATGTATATATTTATTGTTATTCATGTATATACAGGGCGTCCCACGGCTACCTCACACGGAGGGAAAGTATATTAAATATTGAAGATAGGATATTTTACTGAAAGAAGACATCATTTTATTTTTAATAATAACTAGAACTGCATTCACAGTTTTTTTTTAAATCGCCTCGTCAATCAAACTCGTGAAAAATTGAAAAAATAAACACAGAATATACATAAATATGTAATTTATGTAGTATAAATATTATCTTGTTTCAATGATATACTTTAATTATAATAAATATTTAGATGAATAATTTTTGCACTACCTTCTTAAGATCTTTGCTATAATTCTCCGGTTGACTCGTAGAGAATGCCTAATGGCATTAAGTCCTCCACTTGTACACTCATTCGTGCAATAAAGTATAAATAAATCCTTTTTTCAAACTCACACCAATTAGCCCAGCCCAAAGTAAGCACTGTAAGGCTTGTATTATGGGATGCTAGGGTAACGGATAGAATACATATATATAGTACTTAAATAAGTTTATTCATATGTAATGTTAATTTTGCAGGAATTGCTTTAATTATCAGTATAAACGTATGTACTATCATTTATGTAGTAGAATACAGTAGGTATTTATTTATTGCGCTATCGTACACAAACATTACAATTTATAAAGTTTATCTCTCAGAAAAATCAACTTACATGAATCACATTTAAGCGCACCTAGCGACATCTATTGTAAAAAAAGTGTACTTACAAATATTCGATCAAGCCACGTGTCCTGAAGCGATCAGCCCACGTGTCCTGACGCGATCAGCCCACGTGTCCTGACGCGAGTTTAACATTTTTTACCCATTACAAAAAAAAGTGTACTACGCCCCTAAAGAAGTTTTCACTTCAAAAACTCAACTCGGTGATCAAATATATTATGATGTAACATACATATTAAGTATTATGTCTAAGTACATTTATTAATGTTGATATAATTTTAGCGAAAATATGTACTCGTATATGGCGCCCAACTCAAACTACAAAAGTTAGTAAAAAGTACATTATTTAAAAGAGTCCGTCCGGGGAAGAAACCTTTACCTTCCATAGACCAATAATAAAATAACAGCTTTTTGGTGGTAGGGTTTCAGGGTTCCACGGCATAGGGTACTGATAGCTGGAGCGGCACATCTGCTGCATTATCTGTCTTTGCGACTGGACTCCACTTACACTTAACATCAGATGGAGTGGGGCAATCTATTGCATCTCGTATAAAAAATAATATGTATATTCAAAAGAGCCGTATATCTTCTTCTTCTATACTTATAATAAATCTGTAGAGAGGTCAATTCTGTACATGAAATTTATTTTCAAAATAACTATCAGGGGGTGATTAGTGATCGATACTGATGCCAAAAATGCAATCAGTAAAAATTTTGTCTGTCTGTCTGTCTGTGTGTATGTTCCTTATAGAAACAAAAACTACTCGACGGATTTTAACGAAACTTGGTACAATTATTCTTCATACTCCTGGGCAGGTTATAGTATACTTTTCATCACGCTACAATCAATAGGAGCAGAGTAGTGAAGGGAAATGTTGGGAAAACGGGAGAAGTTACTCCATTTTTTAAGCTTCCGTCGCGTGCGCAGCCTTAATGGTTAAAGTTACATAGAAATCATGTATGACGGAAATATTCTTTCTAAAATTGTCTAAAAAATATCCTGCAACAGCATAAATCTATCTTTTATGGTTTACTCACAATAATACGTGTAACTCCTGATAGCTTAGCAGTTCGGAGCATTCTGATTATATTTGTTTACTGTTACGTTTATAATACTCTCACTCATCCCTAATTTAAAAAAGTTAACATTATTACCTATTCATTAAAAAAAGAATTAAATAAATAAATTTAATGTGTACAATACACGCCTGAGAACAAAATCTATAGTCTACACTACAGCTCTACACCGAAGCGAAGCGAGGGCGGGCCACTAGTATTATATAAAACTCAAAGGTGACTGACTGACTGACATAGTGATCTATCAACGCACAGCCCAAACCACTTGACGGATCGGGCTGAAATTTGTCATGCAGGTAGATGTTATGACGTAGGTATCCGCTAAGAAAGGATTTTGGTCAATTCTACCCCCAAGGGGATAAAATAGGGAATGAAAGTTTGTATGAAACTTTGTCAATTTTAAACCAATCGGGCTGAGACTTTGCATGCAGGTATAAGAAGAATCATAGATGAATGTCATTGTGTATAATACAAGCCTGAGAACAAAAACTGTAGCCTACACTAACTTCAGCTCTACACCGAAGCGAAGCGAGGGTGGGCCACTAGTTTCAGTATAAAGATCATGATAGTACCTAAGCCAAAAGTGTAGACATAGCGTATTAGTAGTGTTTTTCAAACTGTAGGTCGCGACCCCACAGTAGTCGCGAAACCTTATCAGGGCGTCTAAATTAGCGATATTGATATTAATAAAATATTGTTTTTATGAAGTTTTCAAATCTTAAAATGACAAGATTATTAAAAGAAAATACATTTGTATTAGAATAAGTAAAATGACTCACTCAGATGAAATGTTATTAAAATGTCATATTTGGCAAAAGCAGTCTTGCTCAGTTAATTCTTCAAAGGGTCTCACATAAAAAATACCACGGGTAACGACAGGTAAAGACTATTAACTACCCTGGGAGATTTCCAAAGTTAATAACCGGCTTAACCACCAAGAGATTACACCGCTGAAGAAATCGTGGCATTTTTATAATAATATAGGTAATCGTATTTGAACTTTATCACTCTCTTACTATAAAGGCAAAAGTTTGTGAGTGTGTATGTTTGTTACTTCTTCACGTCTAAACGGCTGGAGCGATTTTTAAAAAAATTTGGTATGGAGTTAGCTGACATAGGCTACGTTTAACTGCGGGAAAATATCCCTAATAAACCGCGGGTAACACCACGGGGCACAGCTAGTAATATATAAAACAGAAAAAAACAAATATCTGAACAGTAGCATAACTACTGAGATAAAGTTGTTGCTAAAGGCAAAGTAATTACATTAATCATCTGATATTTTTTTAAGCACATCAATATTATTGATTTACGTTATGCAGTAATTTCTACACTGTAAAATATATAAAATATTTTCATTTCATATTCGTTTCTTAGGTTTTCACATAGACTACTCATTAAACTTAATTTTCATTTCATTTTCATTCTGTATCGTTTTGCGTTTGATTTTCGTAATACCGGCCGGGCACAATATGAAACTTCTTTATCGTTTCGCGTTCGAGTTTCATAATACCGGTCACAATCAGCTGTGCCTGTGAGAGGTGCATGACATCGGCGTGCGGTATTTTGTTTTCTGCATCCAACATTCCCGCGTTAACTACGGAGTGGTGGAGTCGTTAGGAAGTGTGCTCTAAATATTGTGTTTGTGCTAAAAAAAATCAACAATGAAGTATTACTTAGGTTCTTTAGTGTGTTTGTGCTTCGGTTTATCCCTGGCCAGTGAAGTGAGTTTTGTTTTGTTTGTTATTCCACAAAAAGCTTAAATTATGAATAATTATTTTTAAAACATACCCTCCAAATTATTCTTTTTTTTTTATTTGAGTTTTATACAGATAACTAGGATTTTTTAAATATAATGGGGACTTGGTTACTTTAAAATTTTACAAAGTTAGTTTTAATATGAATTAATTTAGATAAGTATAAATTTTAAGTAATAAATACAGCGATTGATATAAAATATTACTAAAAAAATAGGAGTCAGTCTTAACTATCAAGCCGGTTCGATAAAAAAAATTGGATGCGGTTATTCTACTATAGTGAGAAAAAAACATTAAAATCAAATCTTATGTAGAAGCTCCTAAGTAAAAATTACACCATAGACTAATATTGTATATAGGGTAAATTACACGAGCTTTGTCATGAAGCCATACTTAGGTAAGTATGACGCTCCTCTGATGTCATTAATAAATTGTTTCACAGGATCTAGTTAATAATGTATAACATTCTAATGTATATTTACCTTCGTATTATTTTATTTGAAATCAGAATCTAACCGATTCACGAGTTACAATGTAATGTTTATAATTTATGGTATAGTATTTAGAAAATATATATATATATAAAACATTGAGAGATAAAATGAAGGTTTTCACGACGCCTACTTTGAGAGGAAAGTTTAAGTACTGTTTTAAAAATCAAGTATTAAAAATATACATTAATAAAAGAACAAAAGTCATAAAATGTCGTAACGAATTTCTTTGTCTTTTATTTCCTCATACTTTATAATAATGAATTTTTGAATGACCATAGCTTATTTCTTAGACAATAAAGAATTTTGTAGACTCAATGAGTCAGGGTTTTTGTACTACAAATGAAGCGTGGTATATTTTTGTGGATGCCGCCTTTAGTGATGAACGTTTAAAAGAATTTAAATAAATGCTATTAATAATGCTTCTTAAAAATGGTTGGTTATTGTTAGTTATTCAGACAATGGAGATAAAAATCACGAATTACGAAATACTAAAGATTAAAAAGTAAACGCACGTGGGTTCAGCGACCGATCACGCGGGACGCGCGTGTTGTGTTATTGTTCTGTCTCTTTCTAATAGCTGCCTGTCTTTGTTCGCCCGCATGTATCCCTTCATTGAGTATTATAAACATCCTATTCGCTATGTGCACGACAGTAGCGCCACCTACAATGCGCAACTTTCCGGGATTATGCCAAATAATAACATCAGTTTGTATTTTATTGATTTCTAGTAAATATAGTAAGGTAAAGATAAATAAAAATTATTATATATTGTATAATAATTTAAATAATGTCGGATTTCAATTCGGAATTCAGTACAGTCAATAATAACTCTTGTATTGATGTAATCTGGACTGAAACACTTGGGCATTGTTGCTTGTACGGTGGCTCTATTCCGCCAAAAGATTATATTAGCAGTTGAACAAGCTACATTTTGTAAGATCGAATGAAATATACGTGAGATTGTGGTTTTGTGTACACCAAATAACACACTCAATGCTAAAAATGTCAAGCCAGTTTTCATTGTTATCAAAAAAATCAGAAGTCGGTCTTTAGTGGAAACTGTACAGTTTTTTTATAGTTAATAAAAACTCAAAATTGCTAAATGACACACCAGCAAGATCTAGGAGTTCTTGATCATTTTTTATTGATGAAATACCAACAAATTCTTGACTTTTTGTTTCGGTAGATTGATCCTCATACGATTTTTTGTCAGTGCCACAGCTTTTATCTTTATTTCTTAAATTATTTGTCATTAAAATTCTTGATGTTGCTATATCTGCTTGGATTTCAGCATCACAGTGATCGTTGTAAATTAATCTAATACAAATAAAAATTGTATCTCTTAATTTCGATTCAGAAAACATATTGACTTGACATACTTGATCGACCATAAAAGGTTGAGTTTGATTTAATTATTATTTGACTTGATGTGGTATCTGAGACTTTGTGGTTCATCGTTTTGTCAAGTGTGTATATCTAGCTAGGACCTGTGAATCATTAACCTTCCTCTTTCGATATATTTCAGGGAATATTCGAAGGAGCATAACTCGGATTTTCTTCCTCGTCTGATTTTTTTTCCCATAAAATGTTCACTACAAATTGTGTCGTCAGGTTTGGGATACCATGGTGACCCATCTACACTAAAATAATAAAGAAAATAATGAATATCACATAAAATATAGCGCAAATAAAATTGATCATAATTTATGGTTATATCGCTTACTTATTTCTTTTTATGGCATCTATCCATTTATTTCTTTGATTTAATTTCCAGTCCAATGTAGGAAATATATACACAGACTATTTGTGCCCTTATTTTTGCAATTCACAACACAACAACATCTATTAATAGGCATTTTAAAAAATTTTTGTTTATTACGAACTCCGTGCAAATTGACTTTACTTTCCCGGATTGTTGCGTATTTCTGCCACTATAAGCGCTGCGATCGCTTCACTATACCCCCACCATGTACTTCGCACATAGCGAATAGCTATGAGTATTGTAGTACGAAAGATGGGCAACGAAAGCTACCAATGCAACGTCACGTATGCCGTTACTTTTTAGGTCCCAAACAAAAGATTGCTATTTTGAAATGTTGATGACTTTAAAACGGGGCTTAAAAATAATGCAGCATTGTAATTTCGGTGCAGTTGTGGCTAAGGAGCTCGATGGCGCAAGTAGTTAGCGCGTTCGGCTGCGATCGTTGAACTTAAGCAACTTTCGTAGTGGTCGGTCATTGGATGGGTGACCAAAAATTAATCTCGAGCTCCTCCGTGCTTCGGAAGGCACGTTAAGCCATTGGTCCCGGCTGTATCTGCAGTCGTTAGCACCCACCAATCCGCACTGGGCCCGCGTGGTGGGTCATGGCCCAATCTCCCTATTCCATCCATTCCCTATGGAACTGTGCCCCAGCCGTGGGAACATTAATAGGCTGATGATGATGATGATGATGATGATGTGGCTAACTGAATGACGCTGCTTTTTTACTATCTAGCTTGACCGAACTACTCTTAAGGGTTTGGTGACATTTCTAAAATATATTAAACTTGGACCAATCATTCGCATAAGCAAATAGTTTTCAATACGAACACAACTAATACGCATAATAATAACATTATTTTTAACTGGAGGTATGTTTTGTTTATCAGTTCACCTACTGCCTCTTGGTAATTTTCGTCTGTGGTTACCGGCACATTCATGTATTTAACCTAATTAACTTATATGAAGTAAACGCAGAAGTGATTACAACTATTTCAGTCCACAGGTAAACAACAAAACAAAGAAAAGGTTTTGAGTTCTTTATCTCTTAACTATTTTCAGGGGCTAATCCGTTAACGGAGACTTCTGTTTTACAGGAAATATGATGAAAAAATCTAAGTAACTTTATGTTTTTACAGGACACCTACTACAGGGCGGCTGTAGTGCGTGGATTGAAATACGACCAAGATTCTTTGAAGGACTTACCGATCATTCGCGAAGCTGCGGATTCTGTAAGATTTTGACTTAAATAGAATAGAATAGAATATAAATAAATACCAATATTTATAGTCGCAGTCATTCAAAATTCAAAAATAAGTTATAATGCGTAGTTATTGCCCATGACTTGAATGATAAATAATACTGTGTCTAAGCTTAATGAATATTTTTTATTTCGCCAATACAAAAATTACAAATTCTTTATTTGATACAATAATTTACTATACTGTATAGCGACTGGGAATTTCTTTTAAGTAAATATACTTGCTAAAAGACATGGTACATTAAATTATTGATCACCTAAAAATAAGATTTTAATAATAATGATCTCTAAACAGTAGCAGAAAATCATTTTTTTGCAATATTTCTTTCAGTCGATGTGTTTGCCTGTACGTATACATGCTTGCATGTGGATGTATGAGTGTGTAAGTGTATGTGTATATGTGTGTGTGCGTGCGCGTGTATTTGTGTCTGAACAAAGAGTGTATTGTTGAAAGTGGTTCTACAGCGACACCTATATAACACCAAATACAAAAGATAACAATGTTTATTTAAACATATCATAACATCACAACCACAAACAAATATTAGAAGAACTTACACCTTTGTAGTATTTTTATCTAAATCCTTTTGTTTCTTGAGCCTCTGCACACATTGCGTATGTACAGTGCATTATGAGTTTATCTTCTTTACATTAATAATTTTATAAACTCTTATTATAATTTAATATTGACTCTCTTTGTTTAGTTTTTAAGTGTTCAGAAGAAAATTACTTTCCAAGTCGAGACTGTTATCGGCAAGTCCTTTTAATTAGTAGGTGAACGAAATGTAGATCGTTGACTGCTAATACTGTACCATTTTTTTTTATAGATTTGTACATAGTGAATTACTGCATCCCATTTGATGCAATAATTCACTATGTATTTTTTTCATTTCGAGTAGATAAAATGCCATGTTCAAAATATCCCTTTGTGCCTTAAGTAAGTGTGTGGGCTAAGGTTTGACCCTTGCGGTACTCCATTTGTTAAATACGGTTTTCAGAAGGTGGACATACTGGTGCTGCCTTTGCCGCAAGGCTCTTCAACATCTACCTTTGAAAGCTGCTGTGGAGTAGACAATTATGACGAGGTATACCCATATTTGATAAACTTAGGATAATATGTATTGTCATGGTTATAGATTCATAATTGTTTCATTAAATTACAGTACTGTTAACCATTTATTTTATTAAAATTGACATACCTGGAGAGTTTTTTTCCACTTATTAATTTTTTTGCTTGCCTAATAAGTAAGTAAATGTGACGATATTATAGCATTAATTTTATTGTTTCTTCATAGTTGGTGAGAACTCTGTCTGAAGTATCAAAAGCAGGTCACTTATACTTGGTAGCGCACCTTCTGGAGAAAACCTGGTGCCAAGGCAAGAATGAGTTGGTGAGAAGCAATTTAGTCTTTGACAGAGATGGACATATCGTATCCGTGTAAGTATATACTACTAGCGGCCTAAGCGTTAACTTATTTTTTTGAAAATCCCTCAAGAACAACACTTCAGTAGTTTTTAGGGGTAGGGGGGCGGGGCGCCCTACATGAACAAAAATTAGCACTTTAAAGTTCAATATTCGCAAACGGATCTCTATATCGAAAAATAGTAAAAAAAATGTATATCAAATTTGTACATAAGAACTTATATACAAGCGATATTACATATCTCTACAAAATTACAGCTCTCTAGTGCTAACAGTCTCCAAGCAAAACCGTGGTCGGACAGACAGACGGACATGACGAAACTATAAGGGTTCCTTATCAGGACTACGGTTCCTTAAAAATGTCACCGACAGTCAAACATTAGAAATATTAACCGTCGATTTTTGTAAACAATATGTAGGTCAAGTCATTATTATTTTTAAATTTCTTATCAACCGGTTATACTTAGTTCAAAATAATTATTTATTAGCACCATGTATATATATAGGATACCTAACCTATCCTATGATAAACCTAGGTCAACTCTAGCTTATAAGTATAACTGATAGGATCTCGGAATATTACGAGATTTGATTTGTACAAATCATAGACCCAATGAAGTGCGTTCTTATCAAAATGTATATTCATATGTGTTTATCTGAATAGAATGAGATATTTATTTTAATACCCATATTTTTTTTGGCCAACAGATACCGCAAGCCGGTAAATGACATCGCCAACTGCACTTCCTCTGCAACAGGTTTTGGGACGTTTACCACAGATTTCGGAGTCACCTTTGGAGTTCTGATGGAAGAAGACTTGGCACTTCTCAACTCTAAAGACCTTAAAGGCTTGAAGAACTTCGTACTAACAGGATCTCGGACTGCTGAGTTCCCATATTTAAGTGGTGAGTTTGTTTTCTATATTTTCACGGATACCACTCATTTAATAAAACTACTATTTGATAACTACTACAGCTGAACCATGTAAAAAAATATTAAAACCTCATAATAATGCTAAAAAGTAGTTTTATTTAATGAGTGGTAAGTTTTTTTTATAGTCATGTTTTAGATTTTTTCTAAACAACAGTACTTACTTTTCTTATTTCTTAAAAAAGTTTATACTTACATGCAATCTAGTCAAAATGTTCGTAAGTAATATTAAAATCTAAAATAAATCATAATTATGAGTGCACCTTAGCCGTATATAAAATTAAAATAACATAAATAATAGAGGTTACTGTTAGTAAATAGCAATTAGCGTATTTTGGTGGAGATTATTTCGAATGCTTAATTAAACCAATATTTTGGATAGTTCGTCAGTTAATTTTAAATCAACATTAAATTATTTTAGTGATTCTCATAATAAACTAAGAAGTTTTTAAAACATTTGTTTCGGTCCGGTTCTTGTATTCATATTTTACAATTTCATTTGTTATGTTCGATAAATATGAAATCATTGAAAGTTAATGACAGCATTAGAAATTGCGGATAACTTATTTATAAGTCTAATGATGCAATATCTTAATCTGTTTTCCACTTCCTAAGATTATGCTATGTTGTTTTCGTTATTTAGTAACAAAAATTATCATTAAGCGATGTATAATATAAACTTATTTATAGGCTATGTTATCTTTATATATTTATATGAACTCGCGACTTCATAATTTCATAATATTCGATGCGTCATACATATATTTTTACGTTAGCGACCGCCCGTGACTTCGTCAGCGATAAATTTACTTTTTTGAGAGCTTTTTCCAGGCTAAAAATTATCCTACATTTTAATCCAGGTTATAAAATATACGCGTACCCAAAAATTTATCCAAATCCATTCATTAGGTTTTGTGTAATTGAGTAACAAACATAAATTGATATAAACTATAGGAAGTAGGATTTACTTAAATTCTATGCATAAAAAATTCTATGCATGCAGGTAAACTTAACACCGTGTTAACACCGTCTCACAGGTAGTTAACCTTTTGTTAAAAATAAATATTTTATAATTAAATAAGTACATAGTTGAGTTATTATAGAAGTTATAGAAATTCTTAGTAGAGAAAGTTATATTTAGTAATAGAAATAATGATTTTTGACACTATTTTAGTAAGACGTGACTTGTTGAGGCATTTTTGATTGATGTCTTTGAGTTGTTCCTTTAGTTTCGTATTTGTGATATGTTTGGAATAGGGGTGATGACCTGGCGAGCTAAACAACATTTTATGATTAGATTATCAAAAAAAAATATTTATCAAAAAGTTTGGGAGTGGAGCCCGTTACGTCACACATACATATATATGTATATATTAAAGTTATCTCGCACAAAACAATATTAAATACTCTTGATCTGTGTAAGACATAAAGAATATAATTTTAATAATTGTATTGGTAACGACATATATTTATGTAAATGTCGCCACCTCATAAAAGCTGAGAAGTTTCTTTCGCCTGTTCTTCTTCTCAGCTAAAAGGTGGTAGAAATTAAATGTAAGGATGATTCAAAAGAGCTTTTAATAAGTCTCATAAAATAAAGTTTATTTTCATTTCAATACTTTTTGATAATGTACCTGATAGATGAAGAAAAAATGTTAGTCATTATCCCTTTTGTTAACGATGCATGCAGCATGTTGTGGCAGGACAATGCAACAAACGTTGTTACTTCCTTCTCTTTTCGCATATTTTGAATTATATGTCTATATTGATTAGTTAGCTTAATATTATATTAGCTCGATGGCACAGAAGGTTAGCGCGTTCGACTGCAATCGTTGAAGTTAAGCATTTTTCGCAGTGGTCGGTCACTGGATGGGTGACCAAAAATCTTCTATCTTGAGTTCCTCCGTGCTTCGGAAAGCACGTTACACCGTTGGTCCCGGCTGCATCTGCAGTCGTTAGCACCCGCCAATCCGCACTGGACCCGCGTGGTGGGTCATGGCCCAATCTCCCTATTCCATCCATAGGGAAGCCCTGTGCCCCAGCAGTGGGGACATTAATGGTCTGATAATGATGATGATGGATTAGTTACATTTATTTTATTATATGTTTACAGCCTCCAGATTCGCAGCTTCATGGGCGTTCGTGAATCAAGCTATTCTCATTTCAACATCAGGTGTCTTCGCGGGTCAAAGTGGAATGAAGACCGGCGGGACTAATTTGGAAATTGTTAAATTGAACAAAAGCCAAGGTAAATTGTTTTTCATTTGGAGTTCATAACGTTTAGCAATATAATCTTTTGTAAGGTCTATTGGCGTAGTTTGATATGAAATAACATTAAATTTATTAGGCATTTTAGATAAGCAGTCACAATGATGTTTTTTAAAGTATTATTATTAAAATATTAGAGGCTTTTCATTCATCAAGTTGTTTTCGTCAATAAACGCCTACCATTAATTGGCATTAGAGTACTACGTCATAAGAAGGATATCAATACAGTTAAGATAGAGGAAAACGCGCGATCGATATGCGTTGCCAAAAATTTGTAACATAACAGATAAATCGGACTATTTCAAAAGATTTATTACAAATTCTCGATTAATCATCCATCATACATTAAAAATAACGCACGTAATTCTATTGCTGAATATATTTTTTTCGACAATCACTACACAGTATAAAACAAAGTCGCTTTCTCTGTCCCTATGTCAATTTGTATGCTTAAATCTTTGAAACTACGCAACGGATTTTGATGCGGTTTTTTAATAGATAGAGTGATTTAAGAGGAAGGTTTATATGTATAATACATGCATAATATTGTAGAGAAACACTGATAATTTTAGAGGTTTTTAATGTAAGGTCGTAAATAAACACAGTTTTTTGCGCTTACATTGCAAACGCTGGCTGAACTCTACGAGATAGATCAAAATAATGTACTACAGTATTGTACACCTTAAAAAGGTCTACAAAAAAGTCCGCGATGGTATATGTCTATCTCTTAGGAGTAACCCACAATAACCATTTTTTATTCTATACTTTTTACGAGAAATAATAGATTATTTACGAAGCGATTTTCTGCAATATAACATTCATCCTTATCCAATTAAGTACCTTAAATACATTGTGCATTTAATATAGACCAATTCGGCCCTTTAACGCATGTAATTTAAATGAATATTTTCGAAGATATTACAGATTTAAAATTCAGGGACATAGCGGTTCCGACGCCGGGCTTGGCGGCGCGTGCCTATTGTAATTAGGTATTAGAAGAATGTCATTGTGTATAATACAAGCCTGAGAACAAAAACTATAGTATACACTACAGCTCTATACCGAAGCGAAGCGAGGGCGGGCCACTAGTATAGATATAAAATCCTAATAAACTCATCTATCTTTCGTTGTTGTTTGGTTTTTTATCTTAAAAATGTTATGTAATGGACTTTTGTTTGCTAATTGTTATTTTATAAAATCAGAATATTTTTGTAAAGAATGCCTTATGCTCGTAATTAGATTACACAAATTGTTGCTTTCCGTAACAGCCTGATATTAAGGCAACACAAAAGTATTTAAGAAAAGAAATGTATTTGTTGGTTGTTCAAATAAATAAAATAAATACATAAATAAATATACTAAAACTAAAGGGATCGCGTTAAGATTTCTGCTATCATTTTTATAATCGGACTAGATGTCCCTAGTTACTTAAATATTTATTTACTCAGTATGTTGGAAATATTCCCTTAAGTAGAAAGATATGATCTAATTGGAGAGAGGAAAGTACGCTTTTGACTAGACATTATAAAATCACTACTACTGGCAAGAGAGGTAGGGCATAGCGGTTTTATCACTTGAATTGGAGCGCCCTTCTGGGGAAGCAACACCTTTTGGTGGGGTTGTGTTTCTATCGGTGAGTAAGGTTATAGAGGGATGGGTTTACGAGTGATATTTTTGATATCGCAAGCATCTGTAGGCTATTTAGGCCGCTTATCATCAGGTGGACTATAAGCTTCTTTGCCACAATTTTTACATAAGAAAAAGTGATGTTTTTATATATTAAGCATTTAACTGCTAGATGTTTAAGTCTAAAGAAAAATAAAAACATAACTATAATTGCTATTTCTTCTTTAAAATGTTTAATACTTGAAAAGATATTTCATTTGACATTGTGGGTTACCTACAATGCGAAGAGATGGCGCTGCCTTGCTGCCTAAAGCTAGAGAATAATTCGACACGGCGGTCAGGGCCACGGTAGCATAATGGTCAGTGCTTTCACCCGGATAGCGAAGGGTGCGGGTTCGAGACCCGTCTGCTGCCTGGTCCGCGTGGATTTTTTTCTAGTAAACTTTTCTTTAGAGATAAGCAAAAGTCTTTAAATTTTTCTTTGTCTACAGATTCCGCTATGGTCCCCCCTGTAGTTACAGCATCGGCCCCTCTTCCGGCCGAAGACTTGTCCTTGTACGCGGTCGTTCCATTGGATCTCACCGCCATTGCTAATGGTCACCATGAGACTGTATGCCAAGATGGTTTCTGCTGCGACTTCTATCTCAAAGCTAAAGTCACTGGTAAGATTGTAGTTCTATCAATCAATCTTGATTGCTCTCCATTTCACACTTGACTTATAAAACAACAACAAATTGATTCAAGTTCAATTAGCTCTATGTATGGTATTACAAGGGTAAATTATAAATAATAAAAAAACATATTGTAACAAACATCAGTAATTATTTAGTGTTTCTTCACGTGAGAACCTTTGTTTAAAATTTATGTTTCACAGAAGTATCCAAAAAGAAAATAAGGCAACAGTATACACACTATCAATCGTTTGAAATACAATGATTATAATGATATTTATGATATAAATCAGCCTTCGTTTGAGGATACGATATAAGATAGAATCATTAGAGTCAACAGTGTTTTAAGTGATCTAATATAAGGGTAATTCGATTTTATTCTTCAGGTAAGGTAGACGAAGCAAACTACAGTATAGCAGTAACGAGTGGCGTATGCGCACTTTTTGCTTGCGGAATCCAGCACAAGCGATTATGTTCTCTCAGGTAAATATTTATGAGATTCATTAGTTTTTTATGATTTTATATGACTTAGTGTCCCTATTGTATTTAACTACTAGATGTCTAAATCTAAAGAAAATTCTATTAGAAAAAAGTCCACGCAGCAGCCGGTACTCGAAACCCGCACTCTTTACTATCCGGGCCAATGCACTGACCAATTATTCTAGTTCTAGTATTACCTACATTTTTTTCTAGTAAAATTTTCTTTAGTAATCCTTTTTGAAGTTATACTTCTTTAGCCGCGTTATGAAAAAATTATGAGAGTGAAATTTTAAGATGCGCGCGCATCACTGTAACACAAAAGTAACATAATGAAGTTAGCCGCGGGCGCGTTATGAAAAAATGATGAGAGTGAAATTTTAAGATGCGCGCGCGTCACTGTAACACAATAGTAACACCATGAAGTTGGCCGCGGGCGCGTTATGAATGTTAGTGTCTAATAATGGTGGATTATTAACCACTTAGTGGTTAATAATCTACCATTATTAGACATCTGTTCGAAAGGTACTTTGAACGATCCACGGAGCTCCATAAGATGATCGCGTTGTCAAAAACAATGTTGGCACGCTCGTCGCCTCTGATCACTGTTTTCATATTTATAATATTTATCCACATGTTTCTAGTTTCTATATAGACACAACGTGTTTTAGTTACTTACAAGTGCTAATTACATATGGACTAATAACTTAAATTCAGTAGTGATTTTAATTGAATATTTTGAATATTTATTTAATTTTTCAAATTAAAACTGAACTTAATTGACTGTGTTAACTATCCTTTTCCAGTCCTTTTATTATTTTATTGTAATTATTAATTATTTGCATGCAATTAAAAAATATTTTTAATGATGCTAAAGAAGTATAACTTCTCACGCGCGTACATAAGTTACACGCATCCATTTTTTTTTTCATAAAGAGTCTATGAATGTGCCTTTTTTCCTCATACATAAGGATTAATGATGCATTCCGGTTCGTAGTAACAATGTTCTCACAATTTGTTTCAGATCCGTACACAACAACACAAACGTAGTTTTCGAGAAGATCTCAGTTACAGGTGATTTCAGTATGGGCAGTACGGAATATCCGATAATACTTACCGCCAATACTAGTGTCAAATCGGAACAGTTCCACTTCGAATCTTTACAGACGAACACTTTAAAACGAGTAACACTAGAAGTTGAGAACGTTAACAATATTTTTGACTTCATCATTTATGGAAGTGATACCGAAAAATCACAGTTCCAATCACATGCCCGTACTCAAATACCATCTATTACTCCAGGGTACATCATAAGCGGTGATTTGGATGAATTCTTTGACTACGTCTGGATTAGAGTACGAATATTCATATTTGTCGCTTCCATTTACGTTTTGGAAATGTTGTAGGTTATGTGTCAGACTAATTCGATTCTCTATCCAGATCGTGCGTGACTTCAATAAAATATCAGCTGAGATTTTATAATAAGACTCATTAAGACGAGTAATCATGCTTAAACATTCGATTGCTTAATAAAAACCAAAAAAACAGAAGCATCTAAATCTATTATTATTTATTAATTGGCGGAACGGCTGCTAATTGGCGGAATAATCGCGTTTAACATATGAGTCGAATTGATAAACTCCTCCTTATTGAAGTCAGTTAAAAAGGGAAATATGTCTTATTTTTGTTTTTTATTATAATTAATGAGTCTTGTTTAACTTTAGATTAGAGCTTTTCAACTTTAAGGCCGTACCCAGAGAAGTCTATGACTGCTGTCACTCTCTTTGTGATGGTAAAAGAATATAAAACAAACAAAAAGTCACTTTAACAATTTGTGCGGTCTTTAAATCTACATTCACGCAACTACAAAATGTATGTTTAAACAATTATGTTTTAAGAAGAATGTTAAAGAACAAAAATCCTGGTTGATTTTCTGAAACTAATTTTACTCAAAGCCCCCCCATTGAATAACTAGTCAAACGTCATTATGGAAATCTTGAAATGTTGAACAACCGATCGACCCCTTGGGGTTCTATTCCCCAAGTTTGAGAAACTCTGGCTAATGAGTGTGTTTTTATTTTATTACCTAAAATTAGGAGCTATAATTTTTTGATGAAAATTATAGTTTGTGTGCGTTTTATTATAACGAATTTAACTAATAATTCTTTGTTTTAAATGCATACGTACAAAAAGATATATATCTTTGAATAGTGGTATTCTTTTGTTTTGAAATTGCATGACTGATTAACAACATAAGGTTTAATTATAATAATAATTATAACGGTGTATTTGAAACATAATTAATGTTGTTTTCGATGAACACAAAAAGTAGGTTGTAGCACGTAAATATTAAGATATCTTATTTAAAAAGTTACAAAGTCTTTTAATTTAGTAAATAATGTACCTCTACCTACCGAATGTAAAATATTGAGTTTGTAATTGAATTTATTCATACTTTTCTAACAAAATCGTATTTTTGTAGGCAAAGGTACATTAATAGCTCTATAACTTTGTTCAATGTAAGTAAGTCATATTAAACCAAAACCAAAAACGGCTAGTTTTAGTTTTAAGTCATCAAAGTTTGTTTTTGTGTCATTTCACTATTATGTGTATTGTATCCAAGAAGAATAAAATAATATCAAGTTTCATAAAAAAATTATAATCAATGAAACGATTGTTTATTTTGTATAAAATTAATTCATTTGTTCATTAATTTAATCACATTTCATTTTGTTTTAACGCGATCACGTAAAGTACCTGTGATATTAGAATTATGCATGGTGTATTATGTGTAATAAATAAATATATTTTTCGATAAATTTCTAATTATATTGTTTGAGTTTTTCCGATAAAAAATCCCATTTTAATAAAGACGTTATTTATCGAAGGTCATTCTAAAAGAATTCTGAAATTTATTCACTTTCTAGCAGCTTCCCGCGACTTCTTTCGCGTTAACTTTGTTTTTTTTTGAGAATCCCTCAGGAACCTGATTTTTTTCCGGGATAAAAAGTATTCTATCTCTCATTCCAGGTCGTAAACTATATGCGTACAAAATTGCATCCAAATTCATTCAGTAGTTTTTGCGTGATTGAGCACCTAACAAACATACAAACTGTTGCTAGGTGTAAAAAGTAAGTGGCCCGGACTCGGGGCGACAGAATACGCCCCTGATTAGAATTACTCGCGTAGAATCTCTCAATCCAGGTCGTAAACTATATGCGTACAAAATTGCATCCAATTTAGTTCAGTAGTTTTTATGTGATTGAGCACCTAACAAACATACAAACTTACAAACTGCTGCTGGGTGCAAATAGTAAGTGGCCCGGGCTCGGGGCGACAGATTTTAAAATACGGCCCTGATTAGAATTACTCGCGTAGAATTTTCGCAGAATATGAAGTTACTAATTTTGATTGCCGGAATAACGACAGGACTTGCTTACCCAATAATTCTATACCTATTCGATCAAAGAAATTTGGTGACTCGATTCTTTGTCGTACTATTCCTAAGTGGAATTCGTTCTCTCCTTCCTACAATCTGGGGTCAGGTCCAGGTGAGGAAGGTTGGTGTGGCAGTTTATTACTGCTGTACCAGCTATCTTTGCGTTTGGACTTTATCACCATTTAACATCAGGTGGGGTAGAGTCATTTGCATACCTGAATATATATATATATAAAAAAAATGTAAATCATACAAGAAACGTGATAGTTTTGGTCTACGATGTTTTCTGCTCCATCTAGAGTCCGAATGTACAACCGTAGTACGCAACGGAACCATCCATCCACGTGCAAGCCCGATTCTGCTCCGAAAATTTATCTGCAGAGATATATTAATAAAAAAATATTTTTCAGTAACTCGTTTTCAAAAAGAATTGTTCCGCTTTAGTTACTTATTCATGCCTTTAATTTAAACTAAAACAGACATTAGGTCTCAAAATATTTTATTTCATCGTTTAATAGCCTGCGCAGATAGGTTTACAATATTATCTTAATATAATTATGGTATTATGTTTAAAATTAAGTTGCGTACTAATGTCGGTTAGTTTTTCTTGAGTGCAGAAACTTCAAGTGATCTTCGTCGTCTTCGTAAAGGGTTTTCTCTATCCATCTCATGTAGGCTTCCACCTGAAAGCATATTTTTTTTTTAGTTCTTTCAAAGAGTTTTTGTGTTAATAATACAGGCAGCGATGTAGGTGTTTTCCCAACAGGATAAAAGCAAATTCTACGCAGTACCTTAGTAATACTTATAATGAAATCACATAATTATATTACAATACAAATGGCTTAATTTCGTTTATTTCGTGAACCAACATCCGACTCAAAAAAAGTTTACAATTCGATTTGCTGAAATGTACAACATGCTTAAATTTTAAGAAACCGCTCAATTTGAACGTGTGATCCTCGCTGTAACGTCAAAAAAGACCCACGCGTCTTCCATCCATCAAAGAGTCTTTTAAATACCAATTCTATAAGTGACCATTCATAATAAAATCAAAATTTCTACAATAACACTTTTCACTAACTCCACAATTAAGGATCATCATCATCATTCAATTACCTTAACTAATACGCACGCAAATAAATTCATATATTACATAAATACAAATAAACTTGAAAAACAAATAGGTACCTTCTTAAGTAACATTGACCTAGTCTACAAAACTGCGATGCCGCGGAATTTAGCATGACGTGCATTATAAATAAATAATGCTTGTTGTACAAAACGCAAGTACAGTCCTGCGTGGAATATTGCCTGTACCCCTGGGTTGGCTCCGATGATTATTTACTCGATGCCTTGGATAGGTTGCAGCGGTGCGCTGCCCGCATCATTGGCATGAAGAGGTAACTAACAAACTCGAGTCTCTACAATTACGCCGTGATGTGGCATCATCAAGCGCATTCTACCGACTATACGACGGCGAGTGTTTGAGGAGTTATTCTCCCTTATCCCTACATCCCCTTTTCGTCAGAGGACCACGTGCGCTGGCCTACGTTAGCACCGACTTACTGTGGCCACTATCCCTACACGAACAAAGAAATTTGTGCTGACTCATTTCTTTGTCGTACTATTCGCAAGTGGAATTCTTTGCCCGCCCACGTGTTCCCCCCTTCCTACAATCTGAGGTCCTTAAAGAGAGGTGTGGAGAAGCATTTCTGCAGGCCGGCAAGGTGAGAATGGTTGGTGTGGCAGTTAAAAACTGCTGTTCAAAAGATAGCTAATCTTCGCGTCGGGACTTTATAACCACTTTACATCAGGTGGGGTAGTCATTTGCCTAGCTAGGTAGTTTTAAAAATATATGTACGCGCATAACTTCCGAAGGACTACACTAAATCATTTCTGTTCTGTTCGATATTGTCGTGACAATGTTTGTATTTGAGATCTATACTAGGGCATAGGGCAGGCAGGGCTGTGGCCCAGCTGGGTATCTGCCACAACAGATGTAAATAACCTTATTTCGATGGTTTACCAACCGGGGAGAGGTGGCAAGTGCAAATCGTGGCCTCACGTGGCAAATTTAAAATAGGGATCTCTTTTCTAAATTCGGCTCTGTTTATACCCATCTCAATAAAACACACACAGGGACTAGAATCACATACATTGAGGCATACAGCTTATTTTTTTTGGTAATTTTATCCAAGCATACGTTTAAAAAAGTCTCAGCTCGTATGGAGTTCCTCAAGGAAGTATTTAAGGCCCTATTTTATTTATAGTTTACATAAATAACCTATGTGCCTAATCTCAAATCATTTCTTACACTGCCGTGACGTTATTGTTATTATTTTTTCTGCAAATTCTGAGGTTGATGAACTCTAAGATTATACACAAAAAGGATCAAATGTTGTTAATATTTGACAGCATCAGCATTCACAACATTCAACTCGGATAAAAATAAGTAGGTAAGTTCATTTTGGTATATGCAAATCAATGACTGCTCTAATAAATCTTTTAAAACCACCAGTTCTATCTTCATCTTCTTTCATCAGCCTATTAATGTTGCCAATGTTAAGGCCTTCCTATAGATGCAATAGGGAGATTGCGCCATATTAGGGACTTTACGACTGCAGATGCAGCCGGGAACGACGGCTTTAGGTGCCTTCCGAAGCACGGAGTCGAGAGAGAGACAGTAAGACAATAAAATTTTGAAAAAGGTTCCATGACTACACGGGGTAGGGGATTGGGTCAGGGTAGGCTTGTTTGCCACTATTTTAACATAAAAAAACGCTTGCGCCATCAAGTTCTTGTGTTTTCCTTCCCCTTACCTTTGTGTAAACGTCCGGTTTCCCCTTGGCGCAGGGAACTCCCCACGACACCACCCCGACCTGGCGACCCTCCCTCACCAGCGGACCACCGGAATCACCCTGAAATGTCAACATGCAATGATTCAAAATATTGGACGATTCAAAGGAGTTATCAATCAGTCAATCTGAATAAAGAACAATTTCGTTGCATTTATTTTTCATAAAAACTTCGGAATCATGAAAAAAATACGCCTTGCTCAAAACATGAACTAACTTTTCGTATTACACAAACGGGAATCAAATGTAGTACCTAGATAGTTATTGCTTTAGTGTAACTTTTGCGAATACTACTTCAACTCGAAATCTCAAAACCGCTAATCTCCATTCAACCAAAATAAGATTATACCCATGCAAAAACGACAAGAAGTCAATGCCAATTTGTCATTATTGCACGGGCTAAATCTAACTTCAGTTAAATTGAGATTAGCAAAACTACTGCGAGCAAGCGCGGTCGCAGCCTGAAATTTTGGAGGGGGTCACTCATTACACTAATAAAAAAAACCGGCTAAGAGCGAGTTGAACTCGCGCACTGAGGGTTCCTTACACACCTGAATTTTCAAAAATGTTTTTTATTATATGATGTAGTTAACTAAAAATTCACGGTTTTCGCAATTTTTTCTTTATCTGTACTATAAGGCGTTACTTTGTACCAAATGTCAAGAATGACCTTAGATTTCAGGGGGGAGGGTCATGTCCCCCCCCTTCGGACCGCGCCTGACTGCGAGTGGACCTAATTATCAAAGCTTTAAGACTTACATGGCAAGCTCCTTCACCAGCCTTAGTCAGCGCACAAATCTGTGACTCGAAGACCGCATTGATACTGCTGTGGGCCTCCTTGCATTCGTCGTAGGTGATGGCCTTTAACTCCAGCTGCATGAGGTCGTTGGGCAGCCGCCCGGGGTACTAGAGAACGTCAACATCTTCAGACTTTAATGTCCCCACTGCAGGGGCAGTGTTACCAACCCTTACCAAAATTTTACTCTAACTATTTTTTAAATTCCCCTAAATTCCCCTAAATATAGAAATTTATATGTACCTACTTATTTTATTACCTAAATTCTTTCGTTGCTCATAAATTAAAACGTTACATATATAGTGACAGTAAATTATTTTATTTAATAAAAATACATTTTCCGAATGGAAAATCAAACGAAAATGAGCTGACAGGCTGTTAAATCTTATTTAGCTGTTTTGATTGGTGGAAGGCAAAGAACTTTAGTCCATACAGCTTTAGGAAACAACCTGCCACACAGTCAGTTCAGTCGTTTCATATCGTAGTGCGTTCCATTCTACGCACAAAACTGAAAGAAAACACACGCTATGTTTTTCGATCTTATTGCAAGTTTTGTTAAAAGCCCCTAAAGGAACCCCTAAAAAATCCAGCCCCTAAAAAGGTCCGTATTAACCCTTCTAGCCCCTAAATTTGGGGGCAAAACCCCTAAGTCGGGAACCGTGTGCAGAGGCACAGGCCTTGGGATGCCAGTATAACAGGTGCCGCAACATCCCCGCACTCCCGACGCACATTAGGGAGGTGCGGTCCATAGAATGCGTACCGGGTGACCGGTGCAGGAGTATTATCTGGTTTTTACTGGTAAGGGCCCTGCACTTTAACTGTGCCTCTGGGCAGGGTGAAATAAGCGGGAAGGAGCCAGATACCCTGTTCGCGCTACACCCAGGGAGGTGTAACGCCCTTTCTAGATTTAAATAAGGGGCACAGGCAGTGCTGTCTTTGACCTATTGGAGGCCCTGGGCATATTAGGATAATGGGGCCCCTATGACCCGCGTTTGGTGATTTAACATGAACTAGGGACTTTGTATTTGATCTGAGTGGGGCCTCTATCGATCGCGGGATCCTGGGCACTTGCCCAAAGTGCCCACTGGGTAAGAGGGGTCTGGGCACAGGCCTTCCCTATGGATGGAATAAGGAAAAATGGGCCGTGATTCACCACAAGGGCCCAGTGTGCATTGGTGGGTGCTAACGAATGCAGAAGCAGCAAGGGCCAACGGCTTAACGTGCCTTCCAAAGCAGGGCAGTCGAGCCTGACAATAAGTTTTTGGTCACCCATCCAATGACAGACCATTGCGAAAGTCGCTTAACTTTCACGATCGCAGGCCGGATGCGCTAACCACTTGCGCCATCGAGCTCCTCTCTAGAAAAGGCAGATAGGAGTTTTATATCGCCTGCGGTGAAAACATAGCAAAGTAAATGTGGGTTGAGAAGTTATTGATTACAAATCTTTATCAGGTTGTCGTGTTTTCTTAGATGTCGGTATTTGGAAAATTGCGGTTTCGTTTTATTCACAGATTTCAGTCTCTCAACCTGTAAATACAACAGAGTATATTGTAGTTGTAGTCTGGCTAGAGTATATTGTATATTGATCAGTATGGAAATTAAAGCGGGCACCGCAAATAGAGTCTGTGCGGAAAGAGAATGGGCGTGGCGAAAAACGGAACTACCATTAAGATTTTTATTTGGCAATCAAACCTAGCAATCTGTAAAACGTCAGAGTTTTGTATTGATACGGATTTGTTTGTTGTTGTGATTTCTTGCGGTTTTTGTATTTAATCATGTCTAAAAGGGGTAAAACCTTACAAATACGGTATAAAAGCACTACAGCGCCCTCCAATCTAAATCCCATTCTCTTTCCGCACAGACTCTAATGCTAATGTCTTAAAAAGTTTAAGAGAGGTACAGCTAGGGCTGCCATCCGGCCGGGTTTCCCCGGATTTGTCCTAGTTTACGGGGCGTCCGGGGAGCGTCCGGGCGGGGTTTTATTTGTAGTCCGGGTTTAAAAATTTACGGCAACGCATGAGTGGCCCTTGTTGCTGCAAGTGTCCATGGGCAGCAGAGACCACTTATTATGAGGTAGACCGCTAACTCTTTTGCCTAGATCAAGATAAAAAAGTTGATTTGTGACATTTTTAACTATTTTTTTATTGGTCTGTCCGGGTTCTGGGCTCCAAAATCCGGTGTTATCACGCGTCTTATCCTGGTTACCATATTTTAGGCAGCCCTAAGTACAGCAGAATACTCACTCGAAATGGAGTGAGCTGGACTAGGTCATAAACCTCTGCTAATCAGAAGACCACAGTCAGAGTGAAATAACTTACCTACCCAGCACTACCTTTTGGTGGCGTTGTGTTTAGGGTTGCCACCCGTACTTTATTATACGTTATTTCGGGTAATTGTACTTTATACTTTATGCCAACAATAAAGTACGCGAAAATACTTCATTTAATGTGATTTGATTTTGATTACTCGGGGATAAATTTTACATAAAATATACAAAAAGAGGTTGAGATTAAGGATTTTTGCGTAAAACGGGCAGACAGTATGAATATGTCGCCATTAGGAATTTTTCGTTGCTGTATGGCTTTGTAATATGACCTTTCCCATTGCGGAAAAGAACTACAGATTTTTAGTAACCACAAATTATTTATTAAAAGTTGCTAGTAGCAACGTAAAAGATATTTTTAAGCTTACTGATAAAGAGGGATAAGAAGTACTTTATTTTGGACACAATGACCTTTTTTTCTACCTTTAATATCCAATGTACTTTATTTGGACAATTTTTATTGTGGCAACCCTTGTTGTGTTTCTGTCGGTGAGAAAGGTTCCATGCACAGATATATTCCACGGGGTAGAGGAGGGAGTCAGATAAGGCAACGCATGAGTGAGGTACCCTTGGTGCTGCAAGGGTTTTTTTTTCATGCTTAATAGGCAAGGCCTGCCTGCCTGAAGGAAAACGACAATGAGGCCTAAGATAGTACACGCCTGCCTAAAAGATGCCTGTTCACTCTGGCCTTGAAGATGTCCAGATTATATTGGTCCAGGAAAACAGACCTCGGTTTAGCAGTTCGCATAATGAAAGCGGAAGCAAATCGCTTCGTGCGAATGGGGGGAACTTCGACAATAAGTGTCGCCGCACACGGGCTACACGCCAAAGCCACAAACGCCGCCACGAGAAGCAAGAAGCGGCTACTAAAGTGGCTAAAGCGCGCGACAGCGGCCGACTAAGGTAAGGGAGAGAGGGGTGGGGAATCGCGCGGGTGACGTGTGGCGGCGTTTTGTATTAGAGCATTAAGTGGCCGGTGCGGGCAACAAGAAGCGAGCAACGACGATTTGTAGCGTGTGGCGGCCACCGGCGTACATCCATATAAAATGTATGAAAACTACAAGAAATATGCCCGTGGCGTTTTGTGGTTGGGGTCGGTGGCCCGTGTGCGGCGACACTAAGTGTCCATGGGTGGCAGTGACCACTTACCATCAGGGGGGCTGCCTCCTCGTTTGCCTGCATAAACATAAAATAAAGAACTTACCGAAGTAGTACCCCAACCAGTCAGAAATAAATCCTCCCCTTTCATCACCGGCTCATCGTTAAGTTCTATAGCATCAACAGTGCTGCTGAAAGCTATCTCCTTCTCAGTGAAAAGGATGGCAATATCGTTCTTGATGATGTCATCGTCGTAGTCCTGATGACGTACGATCTTGCGGATGGCGTAGGATGTGCCGCCTGCCCTGAGCTGGTTCGTACCGACTACTGCCTTGAAGTATTCTGGCCGAGCTCTGACAGAAAAAAAATGATTGAGCATATAAAATTGTCATCATCCATATCATCATCAGCCTATTGATGTTCCCACTGTAGGGGCACAGGCCTTTCCCATGGAAAAAATACGTAGATTGGGCCAGGACTAGTGTTGCCAGGTCCGATTTGTTTTAAATTAGGTCAAAAAAATCGGGATTTAGGGTTGCAGATCGGGACAGTCAACAAAAAACAAGGGGTTTTTAAGTCTGCGTTTAATTTATTCAGTTCTAAACTACTAGTGCAAGTATAGTATTATATTAATTACCAAAATTTCATTTTTTGATTAATCGGGACATTTTGTGTCCCGAACAAGTACAAATCGGGACACGTCCCCAGACCCCTGAAAATCGGGAAGTCCCGCGCAAATCGGGACACCTGGTAACACTAGCCATAATCTACCCTCCACGCGGGTCCAGTGCTGCAGATGCAGCCGGGACCAACGGCTTAACGTGCATTCCGAGGCACCGGGGAGCTCGAGATAATCAGTTCTTGGTCACCCGTCCAATGTGACCGACCGGACCATCGCAGGCCGAATGTGCTAACCACCTGCACCATCGTGATAAAAACTAGTAGGTACCTACCTAAATGGAATTTATTTCAAGAAAACTTATATTAGAAAATTCTACTCGTCTATACAAAGGCTGGAGAGAGACTAGGTATCCAAGTTGAATTTATTCTAGTAAAAATCTTCTTTAGATATAAATATTTGCTGTTAACATTGTGTAGGAGGTGGTTTATGTTTGTTTGGTATATTTCAAGAGTACACTACAAAATATACATCTATCATCCTTTGGGTCCCTTTCACCTGAAGATAAGTGGAGTTCAGTCGTATGTATTGTTCTAGTAATTTAGCTAGGTACCTAATGAATTTAGTCTTCAACCCCGTTAAGCTCTGACATGTCACTCACGCAAATAGGTACCAATAGTGAGTGACCCAACACCACCAAACCTAATGTTATTTTACTGTGGTATTGGTGGTTTGGTTAATAAGATTGGGCCACTTTTTGACAGACGTGTATCCCACCCATGATGCTTAGGTAAGTACTACGTGGTTGCAGTCTTGCGAACTTTCAAGAAATGTTTTATTAAATTATTGGCATGCGTGCAACGAACCATAAAAACTGATATAATTTCATTAAATATTAATTTAAAAACAGACTCTGCACATAAAAAAAACGAGCCTTATAGTAGTCGCGTATGATGTGTAACATTTGAAACCTCACCTCATATTAGTAAAAAAAGAAATAAAACCTACTACAAAAGGAATAAGCCATTTGAACATTATGTTCTCAAATCAAATCAAATAGCGCGCGCTTCCCAAACTTCCTGTTACACAATTCCGTCCCACTTCACGTGATCACTCCCACAAATTGCACGAAAGCGAGAGGGAAGATGTTACACATCAAAAATTTGATTATTCGCCGGTTACACTACACAATATTCTTAATTTGAACCTCCTTACCCATCAACGCAGTGTGCAGCTGTCAGAATGACCCTGGGTGTCACCAGTGACGCTCCGCAGAAGTGCCATACGCCCCAGTATCTCAGAGACACCTGGTATGGCACAGAACCGTTAGGGGCCTTCGTACCGCCCACAATACGCTCCCACTCATCACGTCCTTCCACCGACGAGTACAGATCTGATGTAACTGGGGACATAGGAGGAGATCTATTATATTTAAAGATCTATTAAAAAAAGGTAGGGCTTATTTTGGTATTGTTGTGTCTCAGTTGGTGGGTAAGGTTCCATGGCTATATACACAGGGTAGGGGATTGGGTCAAATGGATGTCCCACTGCATCGTGGGTGCGGCGCCGTATGAGAATCAGGCGACACTAAACTAAGGATTCATGAAACAAAATGTGAGCATGAGACAATAAAATAAGGAATCATGAAACAAAATGTGAGCATGAGACAATAAAATAAGGAATCATGAAACAAAATGTGAGCATGAGACAATAAAATAAGGAATAATGAAACAAAATGTGAGCATGAGACAATAAAATAAGGAATCATGAAACAAAATGTGAGCATGAGACAATAAAATAAGGAACCATGAAATAAAATGTGAGCATGAGACAATAAAATAAGGAATCATGAAACAAAATGTGAGCATGGGACATTAAATAAAGGATTCATGAAACAAAATGTGAGCGTTATTTGGTCTATCATACAAATTGTGAATTGGCAAGATAGAAAAGTTGCTTTTTGGCTCGAATTATCTTGAGCGTACCTAGAGTTAGTACTCTGTGCTATAGTTTCAAAGGTACGCCCCCCACGACAACGGCTAATTGAAATGAAATGAAAGGAAAAGTCATTTATTCAGTCTAGGCTGTTACAAGCACTTGGGGAGGTCAAGAAGCTACGCCATCGGTTCGCAAAACTACGGCGGGAGATCTTGTACTGAGAACAACCGTAGAAAACGTCTGTCCTGTGGAACTCACAGCACAAAAAGAAATTGCACAGATGCACCTACAGTTTTTGCATGCATTTTGAGTGGATAGCGGTTTAAAAAAAATAAAAAGATTCAAATCAAACATTTTATAAAATAAAATAAAACAAACGTGTGTGTCCTGGTACACGCGATTGAAACAAAGTTAAAAACTAAAGTTTATAATGTTTCTTAGCGAAACTACTGACGGTTGTGACCTTTTTAATTTAATCTAAGATTGTGACAGAATAATCTTGTACTTTTTTTTGCCTAGCCGCCATCCGCCAAGTCCCTACCGTACGAATAAGAACTTCCACAGAACATATCCTCTGAGTTTTGTGTAGGCTTGCCACTCGTACTTTATTATAAAGTATTGTACGTTATTTCGGGTAATTGTACTCTACACTTTATGCCAACAATACATACGCGAAAAATACTTTATTTAATGTAATTTGATTACTTGGGGATTAATTTTACATAAATATACAAAAAGAGGATAGGAAGATTTATTGCGTAAAACGGAACAACAGTATGTATAATAATGTCGCCCTTAGTTCATTCCTGCAAAATTGTCGCGGATAAAAACTACAGATTTTTAGTAGCCAAAAATTATTTATTAAAGTTGCTATAAGTAGCTTAAATATATTTTTAAGCATACCTACTAATAAAGTGGAATAAATGTACTTTATTTCGGACATAATGTACTTCTTTTTCTACCTTTAATATCCAATGTACTTTATTTGGACATAAAAAAGGTGGCAACCCTAGTTCTGTGGGAACTTCGTTAAAAAAATGAAAACAAATAGGATTTTTGCATTCTGATTTCTAATTACAAACAGAAACATTCCTAGCTTATGACATGGAACAAAAATCTTTAAAATCACAGTGATTTTTCAAAGTACCTCTACCTATGTGATAAAACATGAGGGTCCAAAAACATCTCAAAATGCCAGATTTTTATTAACCTTTTTATCACCTTTCCTTGGCGTCCAACGCTTCACCTGTGGCTCAAAGTTACGAAACCCACTATTGTATGATGCACACAAACAGAAACAACATGGCATGATTGAAATATATATATGTTGGGATCCCTTACTTTCTATTAATCCATTACCTACTTATTTCATTGATTTGTTGGTATTAAATAAATACATATTATACATATATTATGATGTCAGCAAAAAAAAGAAAAAAAAAGAGAAAAAGCAAATTGTTCTGAATCGATCTATTTTCATATCAGAATAATGAAGACTAAATAAATAAAAATTATTAAAGAAAACGAACAAATAAAAATATGTAAAAAGGATATGTCAGAAGTGGGATTCGAACCCACGCCCACAGAAGTGGACTGCGACCTGAACGCAGCGCCTTAGACCGCTCGGCCATCCTGACTTACTTATTTGGTGCGAAATTAATCTTCAGTACAACGGTACAGTAAAGTCTATAAATAAGCTATGACGTCACCAGTTCAAGGAAGTTTTCATAGTACGCGGAGAGCTTTCTGCGTTCGATTTCCCTTCACTTTGATTTATTTTTTGATTTATGCATCCAATTAGCGATAACAAAGAAGCATCATAAATAATGACAACAATTACTTAGGTACCTATCTATTAGATTTATTTTACGTGATAGGCAGTTAAAAGTGTCTATGTACCTATTTTGTAATTACGGTATTTTTACATTAGTATAAATTATCAGTAACTGTGTGGATTGTGTGGTAAGCAGATTAACAAATGTGTAGTAACTTGAGACCAACTTTAAATTATGAACGTGTCTTTATCTGTCGGTTTGTCACCGTTTCAGACCTTACACTGCTTCGCCTAATTTTTGCATACAGTAAAGAATTAATTCTTCAAGATTTTTTTTTTAATTTTTGTGTGCGAGTCACTTTTTTTCGCGAAAGTAAACTGTACCCTTAGCACGAACCAATATCGAATTCGTAACGTTTGCGAGTACGAAATGTCATTGTCAAATGTGTACTGATCTTTAGTTTTCGATCGGTCCGTTATGACGCTGCTGTTCAAGTTTCCATACAAAGGAGATTGCTCAGCTTCCATACATGTTTGGCCTAAAAACCAATAATCATGAAAAATTGTTTCCTAGATTCGAAATTATATATAAATTACTGTAGAAACGAATATTATTGACGGACACCCCTGAGAACTTCTATAAACCATATACACTGAACATAATATTAAAATAATAAAAAACAAATAAGTTATATAGTAAACTAGGGAAATCAAGCCAAGTACCGAAATTATGGATTAGATTCAGGTATATAGAGCATGTAGATTAACAGATAGTTGCCTGTTTTTAAAGTTCATTCATAAGAGTAACTTTTAAAATCAGGTGTCATTTCCGGTTATAATAAGGTACTCTGTGACAGAAACTGTGTGATGATTGTGAATTCGTATGTTTTCCAAACCGGTAAAATGAAAGTCCTTTTTAAAGTAAATATATTATACAAAGGTGTCCGTTGAAATCTAATAACTGTAAATTAAATTATAAATTACGCCAAGAATTACCGTGTATGTCAATATTTTTTGTGCATTTGGGCCAATTTGAGCAATCTCCTTTGACAATGACATTTCGGACTCGCAAACATTACGAATTCCGCATTGGTTCAGCTCCCTATCTGGAGTACTATACCTACTGGAGTTGAAAATTTGGGTAATTATATTTTTTTTACGCAAACGATATCCCTAGCTCCAGCCTAATAGGTATAAACGGCACGCAAATATCCGATATTCAAAAAAATATCAACACACAAGTCAATGATTCTTCAAACGCAATGTAAGCGTAGTATAAAAGTTAGAAAGCTAGTGAAACATTCTTGAAACATAAAATAGTTATTCATGATATACTTAAGTGTAAGTTGGTAATTACAAACGAGTAGACCAGTGTTCCCTAACCTTTCCAATACTGCTACCCCTGTAACCTATTAGGAAAACAGATTTTACCCCGTCTTTAAAATGTTATCATCAGTCTAAGAAATTCCAATTTGGCCGCTACATCTTCGTCTCTACTAATGTCATCATCAGGAGATAATCTCGCCCCGCTTCCCACACTCAGCACCCCGCGGGCTCACTAGCAAAAAGGACCGCATACTCTATTTAGTACTACTAGCAAACCAGTGCACCAAATGTTCACCAAAAAAAATAATAATTTGAGAACTTCGGAGATTTTGTGTGGTTTCGTTTGAAATAGAAATCACGTGATTTCTCGAAAACCGGAAGTGCTACGTTACTCACATCCGGTTTGTAGTCTTATCAGACTATTCTCAACTTATAACTTGAACATTCTCTTTATCTATCTCTTACGGTTTGGCCGCTGAAACAGCACCACGGACGGACGGACGGACGGACTTGTCTAATAGATAAGAGATTATTTAGATTTGACCTAATAATTAGGTTCTTTGTTACCCGGATTGCGGATTGGCGGGTGCTAACGACTGATGCAACCGGGACCTACGGCTTAACGTGCCTTCCGAAGCACGGAGGAACTCGAGATAGAAATTTTTTGGTCACCCATCCAATGACCGACCACTGCGAAAGTTGCTTAACTACAACGATCGCAGCCGAACGCGCTAACCACCTGCGCCATCGAGCTCCTCAAAGAGAAAAATATTATACATAATTTAAGTAATGAAGCAAATTTTTTTTAATAAGAAAATGGCGCGCATTTCCAAATCGCGCCACGTGCGGTGAAAATTAGAGTTATATCTGTCGTCTCTTTTTCTAGGACATAGGTATAGACTACAAGCGCTTCCGAGAAGGTTCGATCGAAATTAAAAAAATAACTGTAAACAATACACACGGTGCCATGTATGGGAGTGTGCGTAATGAATTTGACCGCAGGCTCCGCTGTATGGTCTGTAATTTTGATTTTTAACAATGTATACAACCTACGTAAATGCACTTTTTGGGCAAATGTGTTCATAAAAAGATTTTCGTCTTTCCGATCTACACCCGAAGTTTGAATGAAGAATGAATGAATGAATGTCAAACTACTGAGTTTGACATTCATTCATATAAATAAAAATAATCCAAAACTTCGTCTTAGACATTTACGTTAGTTATTTGGTTGATATTTGAATAACACTGAAACAGATATTTGCTTATTTAGTAAGAAGATTAAACTCGCGTACTTAATAATAATAACAAAACGTGGCATAAATTACAAAAAAAAAAATTGATAGGTCCTAAATATTATTTAAAAATTGGGAATAAAATATATTAAAAATTATTTCAATTTATTGGATAAATATT